ACCGCCGCCGAGTCTCCAAGCGCGCCCGTTGGCTTCCGCAGACGCAGGGCTCGCGGCGACGGCCCTCGCCAGCCCCCAAGACCCCACCTACGATGTGGCACCACCCGGCAGGCGGCCGGCAGGCTGCCCGACTCGTATCGCCGGGTGCTACACTCTCAGCCGCTACAGCTCGGGCCTTGGGGTCCGCCATTGGCCCTTGGAGCTCGACGGCGACAGCAGCGACGACGAGGACGCTCAAGACCCCCACGCCGCCGCCCCAGGACCCCCCGCAGACGTCGCGAGTGTGCTTGCCCCACCCGGCAGGGCAGGCAGCATGGGGGAAGGCGCGGTGCCAGCCCCTTCTCAACAGCAAGCTGGGAACGTAGGACCACACTGCACCCACACGACGCAACGGTGATATTGGGTCGCTGTGTTTAGGGCTCGCGCGATCTCGGCGCTTCTGGCCCTTAGCTCGAGACAGCACCATCAAATGCCGACACAGGACCCTGGTGCACCGCCTGCAGCATCGCGTCCTTACACCACGACAAGTGGCACGACCAACGCACGGGGTTGCAGCACGTGGAGCTGCACATAGCATCAACACTGGCAGTGGTGGGGCCGCGATGAAGGCCCAGGGCAAGACAGTTCGTGTCCATGGCGGTGCGGGGTAGTGGCTTCCTCACACGGCCGCGATGCCTGTGGGAAGTTGACTACCGCGATCTTGGTGGCCGGCCGCTTGAACCAAGTAGACACGCACAGTGTTCTCAAGAGCCGGTGTCTCCGAGCACACGACAAGACACCCTGGATGCTCGCGCTCCGAGACGCTGGCGCATGTGCTAAACCACTGCAACGGGACCATGGACGCAGTCCGTGGCCGCCATGACGCCGCACTCAAGATTATTGAGCGTGCGCTCCTCGCATCGTCGGACGACCAGCCGGACCGTGCTGAGCACCGCGTGAACCAGACCGTGCCGTCACGCTCCGGCTTCGCGTTACGGCCCGACCTTCAGCTTTACAACCACACGAAGAAGCCGGTGGCGGTAGTCGACCTGGCCGTGGCGTTTGAGGAGCAGGCGAGTGACGACGCGAGTAGCTCGGCACTGTCCCGGATCGCCAGCCACAAGGGAGCCAAGTACGACCGCATCAAGCGACACCTCGAGCGCCAAGGATAGAAGGATCACCTCTCGGCGCTCGTGTACGGGTCGCTTGGGGCGGTCGCTAGTGGCAACCACCAAGTCTACACCACACACCTGGGGCTACTCAAGCGCGATGTAAAGCGGCATGACCGGCAGCTGTCTGCCGAATGCATCCAGTCCAGCCGCCGCATCTGGAATCTGCACTGCAGCCAGCACCGTACTCACCAACACCAGGCGAGGCCCATCCAAGGACCAAGAGGCAGCCGGGCGACGGAGACCGGGGGGACTTATCCTAGAGAAGCCACCGCTAGACGCTAATTAGGCCCTGCGCGGCCAACAGAGCCATACTCATGTAGAAACTGCCCTCCAAACCCATTTCGGTGGTCAACTCGCAGGCATCACCTTTCTTTTAGACATCGAAATTAGGTAGCGACCAAATTACAAATTTGGTAACGAGTAAGCCAAATAGTAATACACAAAACGTTTCTGTTCTAATCAGTGTAAAAACTGGTTTTCGCCTTTTGGGGGACTTTTTCACTCGCATTTTTGGGCACTCTGCCACGACCAGTTTGCTAGCGGCGGACGAGCGGTCTCCGGGGGCGTACACCTTTCCCCCGCGAGGCCAACACACTACACCGATCTTCTCTACACCTCTCGATTTCGCCTACGACCACCCAAGTCTCCGGTCTTCGGACCTATTTCTTTTTGAGTAATCAGAGCGCGCCATGCGCCTCTTCTGACCAATCAGAGACCGGGCCCTGTCCTCGGACAGCGAGGCCTCCACGGCCAGCCAATCGAGTCTCAGCAGCGATGCGTCTTTCTATAGCGCAGCTGACGATGATATCTGGCGGCCCGCGATTGGTCCTGACTTTCAGCCAATCAGCGACGGCGAGGGAGCAGGGGTTCATACTTTTGCCCCCGTTTCGGCTTCAACTTTGAACCAAAATGACGGATTGGACCCTCCACGCGCCGTACCACTGCTCGACGCTGACGGCGATTCATCGGGTGCAGCTTCGGGCACATGCCCAGGACATGCAGCGCCCATTGCACGCCAAGCGGCATTGCAGGACGAGACCCCAGGCGCCCAAGCGCAGCCCCGCCCTTCCAGCTTGACCTCGCGCCGCTTGGCTGATCTCCATCAGGCCGTTCAAGAGCCTGGCGGGTTCGGGCAGACTATACTTGACTTAAGTATGCCTGAATGTCTGCCCTCACTGGCCGTACGCGGCGATTTTGCCTCTGCCTCACGGCTGCCTCGGCAGGCGAGGCCCACACGCCGCCGATCCTCCAAGCGCCTGTTGACTTCGTCAAGCGCAGGTCTTGTGGCAAGGGCCCTCGCCAGCCCCCAAGACTCCCCCACCCCGCCCTCACGATGTTGTCACGCCACATCTGGGTGAGCTTGCAGTGACAGTCTACTATGATTGCTTGTTTGATTCTTTGGATGCCGTCCCTGTCTATCGTCCCATCTGACTGTCTCCCGTTGACATCACTGATACGATGCCCCACACGCTTA